CATCTTTTCACGGTGTATAATTTACCTTTTCATCATTACTGTTTCATTAGAAACACCGACGCAGCTCACACTAGTTTTTAGCTAGTTATATCTTCAGTTCACATGAACATGTGGTTTTTTTTAATGATTTTGTCTTTTATACCACTTACCTTTATACCAAAACACACTAGAAATCAGTTGTCCCTTTGCTGTACAAGTCAAATCTTTACTCGTCTCTGAACCTGTCACTACCACACGTTTAGTGGGTATCGTAGGGTAAGAAGAATCTGAAATGACAAATACATACTTTATTTGCAACTCCCAATATGGGTTTTTCAAAAGAGCATTTTGTCGCTAGACTAACATGTGATAGTCTTCTTTCTATGAGAATTTACGATTGCAAGGATAATTAATATCTTGGTTTTCACTTTAGCCTAGACTAGAGTTAATAGTTTAGATTCAAAGTTGCTCCAAGCATTGGTCAAGCATTAATAATTAAAATTTTTAAGTGCGCACTGTAGCAACTAGCAACCCTGATTTATAACATTTTGACAGCTAACTTGTTTACGACATTGCGCAAGCATCAATGAGTACGACTTTCAAGTGCGTATTATGGTAATCGTTGCGTTCTCAATTGTGCGCAGAAAAGTCAAATCACCCCTTGTAGAAGAATGAAGCGTTGGTCTTTGACAACTCAATTCCGAGTGCTCAACGTTCATTGTCGTTGACAAAAAAACAAAAGCTATACCCCAGTCTTTCCCTGTTCTCCGTTTACAACCCACTTGAGATGCTAACCTTTAATTGCAGCAGGCATCACGTACACTTGTCCCAGAGGAACTCTTGCATTCCCTTCCCTACACATGTACATGCCATTATTCACACGAGTTATGCTGTGGAGTACGAAGCGTTGTCCATACTGTTCTACTGTGACCCCATTGGGTTTGATTCGACGCATAAAGTTCATTCCCGCAAAGTGCCACAGGGTGACCGTCTGTTTGGGGTTCTGGAAGGTGCATTGTAATTCAATGGAACTGCCAGCATAACTTGGTACCAACCATTGTCTTCTATACCGGCCAGCGGCTACTCCTGTAAGTAGGAAGCATAAACTAAATGGGACGTTTGTATGATGACGTCATGAACCTCTACTAGCTACCAGACTCCCTCGCTCACTCTCTTTTGTTCAGTTAATTAGCACCAATTGTCTTACTATTCCCATGAGGGAACACAGATTTAATATAAGGGAAAAAAGTTTGCCAAACATCTTGGTAGTGGGAGTTAAATGATGTCATTATGCAAATGCCTTATTACTGCTATCAAGATCGGGAGAACCTACATAGCACTGAATCTAATGATGTAATGTATTCAGAATACATGTAAATTTTAACCCAAGTTCTGGGTCGCCTTTTATTAGATTATTATTATACTTAATATATCATATATTTTTGACTAATTTTAGGTTTGTTCGTATTTTCTTATTTTAATTTCAGAAAATCCATTGCATTCCTTTGTCGTTTTATCTATTGTAATAGGTGTAATTCATTATATTCTTTATAAACACACTCTCCCTATCAAGATTTGAGGGACACCAGTATAGTTGGGGTTCCTGCGTCACACACCACGACCGCACAGATCCACTGGGAATTATATTACTTTTGACTTTGGAAGAAAGTCCGAGGTACAGAAGAGATCCCGAGGAAGAAAATAAGACTGAAGGTATGTCGGCTTTAATTAAACGAAATTAGACGAAAGGTGTAAATAAAAGGCACTTTTTATCGATTATCTTAATAATGCTACCAAATATGGTCAACAAAGAGGGGTTTATCATCATCTAGACTTCGACAGCAATATTTGTATCAGAAATGAAGTAGATTATAATACCGGAAGTCGTGCCGTCAAGATCATCCCAGAGGTTGTTTCAGCATCGATAAACCTCCAAAGTATTTCAAGTAAACCTTCATGCCGAGACAATCGCGCTTGTTACACACATTTATGTACGCAGGGTTTTATCCGAGCGCCGAAGATCTCTTAAAAGCAATGTTAAAGGCGAGTCTAGTTTGCCCTCTCTACGCCTTTTCCTCTCCCACACTCTATTATGACTGGAAAATCTCGTGTCACACCACCTGCCCGTCCCCTCCCTTGATCAAAATTTGATACTAAGTCAATACTGCTTCGATGGCTGTCATTTACTAAAGACATTAATATCAAAGGACTGATGACTTCACCGAGGGGAAACGTGAGGGTTAATTAGAACTATTAGAATAGAAACGGAAGCGTCTAAAAACAGATAGAAATGTGGCGAGACATTTAATATAAGAAGCGGAATCATTTGTCGACCTTGTGTGGCTATTTCTACATCAAACAAATAGTTATCTTGATGCTGTCAGCTTGATAGGGTTGGTACTAGTCAAGTTGAGAGAAATACAAAAGACCAAAGACCTCACACTTGGTGCAGGTGGGAACAGTAACGCCGAAAGCTACCACACACGAGACGAACCGAGAAAAAACTGTGTAAACTGAAATGAAATTAGTGATTACTACGCCCCGAAAACATTCACATATTCACGCTTATGAACAGAAGAATAGAAAATATTTCTACAACATGCATCAAAATTTGTGAGAGCGGAAATTTCGTGAGAAAAATAGTCCAAAACCTTCCCACAAAGAGATAAAAACTTTAAAAAAATTTAACGTCAAAAATAAAACATTTTGGAGTGAACTGAGAACTAGAGTGAAAAATTGTCTAAATTTTATTCACGTACAAGTGAAATAAATAACAAATGAACAATAATCCATTATCTGTCCATAACGGTTCGTCTTCAGTCCTGTCAACCTCTCCGTAGAGCATATCAGTTAAGTCAATTAAATACATATTGAGATATTAATGACTAATAGAAGTGTTATGGGTGTTGCTGTGGTTATTAATTCATTTATTGACCTTGGTGCTTAGCATTATGAAATATCGTAAAAATGAGGTTTATGGTTGATGAAGGCAGAAGAGAGAAAAGCCATCAGGAAATAACAAGTGGAAATTGGGGTCGAAAATTTGAGTTAATTAACCTCAGAAAAAGAAAAAGAAAAAGGACGAGAAAATCTGCAGTTTTTCAGTAGGTGTGTTTTTAAAACCTTTCGAAAACGACGAATTTATACTTGTTGGCTAGCAAATAACAAAAGGCATGGCCGCCATCTTGGTCGATTTAACAAAAGACATGGCCGCAATCTTGGTTCAGTGAAATAACAAGAGGATAATATGACAAACACCACAAGGCGGCCATGAAAACAAATAAGATTAGCAATAAATAAAAGTTTACAAGGGAGGGCATTACAAAATTTGGATACATGTACATTTTCTCTTAGTGATCTTCAGTCGCATTGATTTGTTGATTTATTAGGTAATTGATATTCGTGCTAAGTGTCTTATAAGATTTTAGTAGATTTTAAAGAGATAAATTGGGCACGTATGAATGACGGATATTGGCAAGTTTCCACTGTCGGCCAGTTGATTGATATAATACTAGTAAATGAACGCTACCGGCTGGTGCCCTAGTACTAACCACATTCAACACCACACAAACCTAATAGAGGAATAACTAATATCTGTAAGAAATTAACAGGTGACGTAACGATAAAAGCGCTCCCCTCTTACCAACCGGGTTCGATTCCCGCGGCGTCATATTGTGAGTTGAGTTTCTTGATGGTTCAAGTTGATTTTCGTGGAGGGAGGAAAACCGGAGAACCCAATGAAAACCCCTCGAAGCACAGGAGAGAACCAACAAACAAGTCACTATTGTGACTGACAGCGAGATTGATAGGCCGACTCGAACCCATGTCGCATTGGTGAGACGAGACCCATTAGCAGTGCACGCCACCTGTGCTTCCCAAAAGAAAAAGCTTAGAAACTTTAGAAGCTCTTATACTAAATCCCTGAAAATCTTTTATGCTAAATGAATATATTAATGCTGTTATATTGAGTCTTGTACAGGTGGATTCGCTAGCCTTAGGGGTATCACGTTTCTCCGCATAAGTCAAACTAAGCTGGGGAAATTTTAAAGCTATAATAAAACAAATCTTGATCATCGTGACAACAGGGGCGGAGGCCAGGGGTGGTAAAATAGGTGCCTAGTCACCCCCCTTTTGCTCAAATTTCTCAGTATAGCGTTAGTAGCAGTCACCTCCCCCTTTTGCTCACATTTTTCAGTATTTCGTTAGTAACAGTCATCCCCCTTTCCACCTTCTAAAAGAGTTCCTAGATCCGCTCCTGGACAAATGAGACTACCGTATATGTTGTGATATTAGCTACGGTGTACACTTCGTATCTATGGCTGATATTCGCACAAGAAAGCCATAAATGACGTCGTGTTTATAGATGAAAACGCCAGGCTTTGAAAAGAAAGATCCTTATTTCAGGGCCGTAGCCACAAATTTCTGATTGGTCCGGTTTTCGAGGGTTTTCAGTTTTTCTTTTTTCTTTCTATTTTTAAATTATTTTTCTTATATTTATTTTCCGAAAGTTGGTCCGGTTTCACGTACCGGTGGCTACGGCCCAGTGTTTTTACGAGGTTAAGACTTAATGCCTGACACACCTGTGACCCATGATCGTTTCATGATCGAATTGGGATTTAGGAGTTTATTTTTTACTCCATTAAATTTGTCTCAAAATATCGTTGGGAGGCAAGTTACGCGGGTTATTCCCTACTGCAATTTACCAAAATCGTATTGCGCAGATATTGCGCAATCGTTGCGCCTAGTAAAATCAAGTTCTACTTTTATCCTTTCACAATGACGGCAGCGAAAAGTTTGAGGCGTTGATCAAATTTGTATTATCCCAAACAATACAACTGTAGCGCACTTTTCAAGTCTATTTTCAAGTAAATCAAAATTTCTTGACAAGCTTCAAGGCTTTCAACCTTAGTTGGACACTGGGCTGGCGGCTAACTCACAGACCGAACTCTCAAACAACCTCCAGGCTGATCAAAGTCAGGTTACGCCTAAATCACGGATAAAATTGTAATTTAGCTGGTTAGGATTTTGCTGAGGAAGGAAAACCGGAGAACCCAAAGAAAAATCTTTCCAATGATAACGATACTATAGAAGTCTACACTAATCAGATTCAAAGATTTCATGGATCATACAAATGACAGTCGTCTTGATCTTCATAATAAAATATATATACAACCCGAAATAGAAAAAAAAGCATTGAAAGTCCAAAAATAATCCGGTTGGAATTGAGTTCTTTCAATTATGCGGCGATAGAAGGGACATATAACAGCCAAAATGGCGCCAAAAATATGGTGTTGTTCCCTGTTCTCTTCTCTTGCCGCCTCTTGTCCTTCTTCCTTCATGTTAAGCTTGAAGCTTCCCATATTTTATTTTATTTTTCTTTCTTTCTTTCTTTCTTTCTTTCTTTCTTTCTTTCCTACGTCGCTTTGTTTTCTTTCTTATTCTCCTTTATTCTTCCTAACGCCCTTTTTTATACTTCCCATTTCAGTAATTCATTCATTTTTTCTTTCTTTAATTTTCTATCTTTTTCCTTTTTCTTTTCTTTTTTTCCTCTCTCCTCTCTCTTCCTTTTTTTTTACATAAGTAATCACGGTTTTTTCGAATTAACGAAGGGAGAATGGGACACGAGGTTTTTCTTCCTTCGTATGTCATTCATTTCTCCTTCTGTTTTCTCTGGTTGACCATTGTTCTTTCATTCTTTTTACAGGACTAGGGAATATCAAACGGTTCTCAGTGAATCGTGACTCTTCGTTAGTTACATCATCAGTTTTGAGCACACGTCGTCAAGCACTTCGATAAAACTGAACAGAAAATCCTCTTAGTTCTATACCAATGACTCCAACTTCTTAAACATGATCTACGCCAACCCCATAACGCTTTTAAAACCAGATTTTCTAAAGCAATTTCTCTGAAACCTCAACAAAACCCCAACAAACCTGACTAACCAAACCGAACAAACCACAACCAAGATGTAGAACAACGTGAAATAGTTGACAGATGTGAGATGAACGTGCCAGGAAAAAAATGTTCTGAACTGCTAAAATGGCTTTATTGAATAAATTTAGCCTCTCTATAAACGAGCTGTAACGAAATGCAATGGCCTGACCTTTGATTTACTTAGGTAGGGCAGAACTTGGGTCGATAAAACTGATTAAAATCGGAGACCGTCACGACGAAGTCTGTCTGTGTGATCGGATAATCATGGTAAAAGATATCTCACTGATATCTGCAAGATTGTCAAACTTCTTCATCGCCAACTAAAAAATAAAACTTACTCAATAAAGTCATTAAAAACCTTTTGATAGAATTGTGTGGTAAGATAATCTTATTTTCAACGCTTTTTTCCTCGAAAAAGCAAGATAAAAACCGATAACAAAGTTGATTAATGAGTGCTGAATGTGAAAATTAATGTTTTGTAAACAGCATATGCGCTGTTCACTGGCACAATGAGACCATGATGAGGACTCATGGTTCGGAGTAAAAGACTTCTAGCCGTGACAGATTGGCCTTTGTGTTGTGTAAATCATAAATCATTAGCCTGAAAACGCTTTAGGAGGGAAAGCTGCGGCATTCAATACATTTAGCGGGGTTTTTCTTTCACATAGGTAACTAAAGCAGTTTTGACTTTTTTTGACTTTGACTTTGACGTGGTCTCGAAGGGAGAAATCGTCAGTAAGCATTTAAAATATAGATGAGTGCTTCAAAGAGATACTTCGTCGAGTATAATCCCCCAAAAATAACATTATTTGACAGAACAGACTAACAATCGTAGATAAAAGCATTTTTTGATTAAACAAAAGTATTAGCTAGAGGCATGTAAGGTGATTATTATTACATAACGAAGATAACTATGGCTGTGCAAAAGTTAAAAATGCTAGCCCGCTTAGTAAAGTACCTTTGGTGGCGTGGGAAAATTAAACAGCAAAAATGGATGACTATGAATACATAATCTAAGAGATAAAATGATAGTAATATTTTACGACTAATTCATTAAACTCTAACTTTTCTAAGCTCGATTTTGTATGGTGTATTAAACCAATCTTCAAATTAAACTACTCCTAAGCAGTCACTAAGTATAGTGATATAGTTTCATATTTTAAAGTTATTAATCGCTATATCAGGTTTTCTGGGATGCGTTCTTTATTAGGGAAGCCCTCTCCATCGGAAATTGCTAGCGGTCTCTTGAGGAAATATGAACTTCAAGAAAAACACCTCGAATACTCGGAAAGCTATATTTGTGCATGTATGAAGTTGATTATTTTTCATTTATATAAATTTAAGATATTTGTCGATCGATTCTAAATCATTGAAAAAGGAGACACGTAATTAATTCTAGCCCTGCCAGCCCACAAACTAGTCAAAAACCATGTTCCTCCATTCAAATTTCATCTGTTAACTCAAGAACTCAGGAAATAGCTCAGGAATGACTATAAAAACACAACACTTACCTTGTAATGGTATTTGGCTCACCAGAAAGAGCAATAAAAACCATTCAAAAACGTTCCAAAAAGCCATGGAATACAATTGAGTATACTTCAGAGTCCAAACCACTTTTTTTAATGCTCAGTTCTGAATGTGAAATCGTCAACGACAACGAACTGCGACGGACTAAATGAGTCTAACTTCTCGAGTTTCGTGAGACTAGCTGTGAGGCTTCAAGTGAGGTCAAACAGCTCACGTTCCACAGCCTTTAAACCCAAGGTATCATTTTCATCCAAGCTGTAAATGAAGTACAACGATTTTTGTTACCACGAACTTGATAAGATGAACGCTTTGAGCTAATCATTTACGTCATAGATTAAAGGTTAAATGAGGTATACATCGGTATTCAAAGACCAGAGCCCTATATTAGGATGTAATAATACTAATATTATGTCATTGTTGATTGGCTAGAAAATAGCGCCAGTCAGATTGAAGCATGCATTTGGCTACAGTTGCGGAACCAGAAAAACTATATAGCCCCGTTTACACTGGCGATTTTTAAGGCTATTTTTGCTGCGATTTTTGTGGCAATTTTCGGAAATATGAAGTCTTTTGTCTCATCTTTCAAAAGCGACTTTCGTCAAGGAAAATCTTGGTATCCTGAAATAAAATTTACGAGTTAACTCTTTACCATTATTTATTATGGACAAAATCGCAAAAAATCGCAGCAAAAATCGCCGCAAAAACCGCTAGTGTAAACGGGGCTTAACAATCAAGTCTCCAAAAAGGTTAAAGCATGTCGAGAATAGGATGTCTTAAATTAAAAACTTAAAAATGACTCATTGGTGCAGCATCTGGTTGCACTGTACATCACTATATCTTCCTTATTATATGACAAAAAATGTCAACAATCTTTCCTAATAAACTTTTTGAATTCATTATTTTTATGAGTCACGTTTTTGATCATGTTTTATGGCACGAAACGTCAGTCTTAGTTCAATCGTAAGAGAAATAGAGAACAAAGGTTGAACAAAATGATGAGTATAAAAGCAAGCAAAATGAATGGTTTTTTTAGAGAAGGGTGGTTATCAGAACGTGGCAAAAGACGATTTCCGAGATGCGCGAGAGCTATCATAAATATCCCAGGCGCAAAAATAAAAACGAAGCATTTTCAAAGTATTATTAGACCCCAAGCCAAAAAGACAATATATTAATGTCGCAATGAAATGATAAAAAGCTTAGATAAAAATCGGGTGCTATTGCATAGCAGGTGAGCCTCTGTAGGAGGGAATAGCAGTCGAATTCATTAATTTATCTGTTWTAACTATATAAGTTTGTCTGAAGAATTCTACCATTTTTATAACATTCCAAAAAAAATGCATTATTTCTGAAGTATGGAAAATAGGTC